GTAGATTTAGAGTTCCTCATTGAAGAATTTTCAGAAATTTGACATTCATCATCCTATTTTTATCACTTATCAATATTTTAATAATTCAACTATTTTTTTAAATCATACCTAATGTCATATTTGACTTTTGTACTTAATCAAACGTTATTAGTTTTGATTGTTGACTTAATAAAAATAATAATGTGATATGAGATAATAACAATTTTAATCTCTCAAACTTTAACTTACCGTGATTCAAAGTATTTTAACAAATTTTCAATACCTAAAACACAACCCCTGTATTTTGTTGCCACGCTTACATCGCCACTACCGTCATCGCCAATTCGGTGCACTTTTCAGGCAACAATCGCCACCAATGCTCTGCACAACCAAATTTTTATTAGATTTTTTATATTTCGATTTGGGTATTTTAACTCATCCATAGAATATGCATAGCATATGAGAACCAGAAAGGACGGAATTTATTAATCAAATGATTAATATTCGAAGAAAGAAAGTGATTATGAATCTTAATTATGTAATTAATAAATTTTCTATCATTTCCCATTGTTATCATTCACACCAAGCAAAGCTTTAAAGTGAAGGCTCCATTTCTTGATACATTTAACATGGCATTTGGTGCTAAGTTGCTGGTTAAACTAACAAAACATATCACGTGTCTTAATGGTAAACGTTAATGATGATGTTTTTTTATATGTAATCACCATTTTCACCCGACCTTCATTATTATTATTATTATTATTATTATTATTATTATTATTATTATTATTTACATCTACAAATCAGGCCAAGGGCAGTTAGCTTTGAGGGAGTCTAGGACTTGGTTTAGGCGAGTCCAAGCTCCGATTTTGGGCTAGAAGGGTAGATCGGAAGAGTTCAATTCGGTTGGGCTTTGTTTTGTTGTTTCTGACCACCGTGAACGGTGGTTGGAGTGGCGACCGACAGTTTGGTTGGTGGCGGAGAAGTCTTAGGGTGAGAGACGTTGAGAGAGTTGGGTTGACGATTTTAAATATAGGGTAATAAATTAAGTACTAATTTTTTGGCGCTGTGGGGTGTTAATCCTTCTCCACATGTAAATAATTCTCGAACCCAATTTTTAGTTTTCGCATACAAAACTGATATTTTTAGTAAAATAAAATATTTATTAAAATTATCCGATTTTTTAATATTTTAATCATATCTTAAAATGATTGATAACGACTCCCAACATTTTAAAAATATTTTGAAAGAAAATCCCAATTCGTATTCCTTTTTCCTTACCCATGTGAAAAACGGTGTCGAGATTTTATAATTAAGACAACAGCAGCTGCATGCTCTAAAACAGTTGTTCTTAAAAGTGAAGTCTTCATAGAAGAAAAAAAGATTGGTTTAATTATAAAGCAAAGCAACAGATGGGGTGCCGCCAGCTGATTTATAAGCTTCACCGAATCACCGCAGAGCTTGTGAAAATCGACTCCCACCTTTGACTGCCCACATGCTCACCACTAAGCCAAGATGGAGCCCGCATTTGTCTCTTACATTTAAATCATATACGTTTCATTTGATTATATCTTCGAAGAATGAATTGCAAAAATTATCAGCTCTCATTTAATTAAGAATTAAAGATATCTTTTTCAATGATCGTTTTGGAAGAATCTGAATTTGTTTTAATAAAAATCTTTGAATAAGTTATAAACTATAAACTTAGTCTTTAGACAATATTTTTAACAAATTCGAGTTAATTATCAAAGTAAAATTTAAGATTTGATTATTAAATTTATTTAATTTGTAAGTCTATAAATAATCATCATGATCTCACAAGTGATATACGTGCCAAAAATATTATAAATATCTCACAAAATAGCTGAAAAATGGACTTTCACCTTGTATAATAAACATCCATTTTTCCTTCTTTTTTATGATCGACTCTCTCATAGAAAAATATTGACCAATAGTCATCTTCTTATTAGCTTTTACCTTCATTCAAATTAAAAAAAGATGAATTGTCAACGACATACGAGATGAACTTGTTATCATCAACACGTTTCATAAATTATTTTTATTGATTATAAATCTTGATAGGGTGTTCAATTTTCAAAATATGAGATCATTTCTAATAATATAATTAAGTTATTGATTTCTATTATTCTTTTCATTCTTATTAAGTAAATGAATCAAAATCTATTAAAAAGTAGAGGCAAAAATGTCCAAAAATCTCGTATTAATAAGATAATGTAAGATTGCCCACAGAAAATGTAGTATTAGAGTTGTGATGTATTATAATATAAAATTTTAATTTGTAACAATAAAAAATAGTGTTGTCATAAAATATATTACACTGTAAATAATTTATATTCAAATCTTAAAAAAATTGTAGAAACTAAGTGTCCTTATCGGTTAAAAGACTTATTGTTATCTCTTAAGGTCTCAAGTTCGAGCATTGTATATGCTAAAAGTATGAGCGTTCATTGTCAAATAATTGAGTGTATTTGAACATATATTACTTTGTATTCATCCCAAAGTTTAGATGTATTGGTAAAGTAATTGTTGTTATTCTCTAAGATTCTAGATTTGAGCGCCATGAGTGTTAGAAGAATTAATGTACAGTGTCAAATGATTAAGAGTTAAGAGTTATCTCTAAACAGATATTACATTATACTTACCAAAGATTTATCAAATAAATGTATTATTAATTTTAAAAAGTTTTAAACAAATTATTCAATTAATCAGTTATTACAAAAAAGTTATTTTAATGTAAAAAAAATAAAATAAACACTAATTTTTTTAGTTTCAATTGGTCAATCTGTTGATCAATTATAACAATTAGGTCATTTCACATATCGATGGTTACAATCACGTTAGTTTAAAGGAGTTACAATCACGTTACTTAACTGTATTTAAAAAAACTAATCGCCGTTATACATTGAACGATAATATAACATATTTTTAATATTCAATTAATTAAATAATTGGTTTCATTTGAACGTTAAAATTTGAGGATATGAATACGAATTAACTTACCTCAATTGTTAAAAAAATCGTTGGTGTTCCTAGAGGTCACGAGTTTAAACACCAAAGATTGTAGCAGGATAATTGAGTGTTTACCATCAAATGATTGAGAGTATTTATAACACACACTATTTTGTAATGAACTTTGTTTAATAAAAAAATTAAAGATATGAAATGAAAATAAAACAATGGCAGATGTTGACGGGGGAGAGTTAAAAGTGACTACTTTTTCTGGGCAAATCCCTCACAAACTCTTTAAACCCCATATCCATCAAACTCACATTAGGTTCACAACTAAAATCTGAGTGATCATTATCGGGAAAGTAGAGATTTAAATTTTGTAAAAGTAAAGGAAGAAATCATATAAAATCTTAAAAGGGCATTTGGATTTTGGTAATTTCAGGTCACAGTAACACAGATGAAACCTAGGAATGATGATAACATAAGAGGGTAGAGCTGCACCTAAAAATGTTATTTGTACCTACGTCTTCGTACGGAGATGATTTTATATTATTAATGTATGTGTGTTTATTTTTAAAAAAAAATATTTTTAAATCTATCATTAAAACAGTAAAAGAATGATATGTATTGCCAACCATATACAAAAATATCCAATTTCATCACGTGAAATCTATAGAACTGAGTAGAATTTAGGGGCAATGTTTACAAAATGTGGGGGACATACCCCACACGATACCTCCCATGCCGGGAGACTTTTCAGTTTTCATACTACAGGTTTTGGCGGTATCCTATTGCCACCTTTTGGTCTATGCACATGCAACCGCGAATTCATAGTTTTTTTAAAAGGTAGAAATGTGTAAAATTTAAATTTTATTCGATTAATTATTTATTAGTGTCTATTCTTATAATTTATTTATATTCATTTCAACTAAAATTTTTAATTTATTAATATTTATGTTAGTTTTTAGAAATATTTTATGCGATTTTCCATTGATGTTCACCGTCCCCCAATTCACACACTGTTCCCCCTTCTGTTTCCTATACACTCTTACCATCTTCCCAAATAAAGGAAAAAAAGATCAGTAAATAATTTATTTCTGGTTAAAATATAACTAAAATCTAGTAATTAAAAAGGACAGATCAAAGATTGAAGTGCATACAGATGTTATCCAATAACAATTTTTTTAAGCTTAGCGATATTCGTATCGATTATATGCTGATATTTGATACTTACACAAAAATTCGAACAATATAGCCCAAGAACGCAATGGTCATCAGGGATGACCTGAGGCGTCGCAGATTTTTATGATTAATTTAATTATTTTTTATACTTTATTAATAATTTCATCCTATTTTTTAAAATTTTATTATTCATTTTTTTACATAATTTTATATATTCCTTTACATTTAATCTTACATAAAATTACCAAGAGGGTAACACTTTAGAGTAAATTAGATAATATTTTAAGTTAAAATCAAAAATATTATGTTTTACATAATAAATCAAATAAATTATATAACTATTATAGTTGTAACCTAAAATGTTGTCGTCAATAAACTTATGTAACATTTTTTAATTGTTACTAAAATTATAATTAATTGTTATAATCCGTTGTCAGGGTTATTCTTTGATGTCCTGGGTTCGAGTACTAAAAATGTCAGGTAAGTGAGGTTGTGAGCATTCAATGTTAAATAATTGAGATTTATATTTAAACAGATATTGTCTTATAATTATTTCATATTAATAGCATAAATAAAGTAAACAATATAATATTTTATATTAAAATCCGATACAATATGGTATTATCGGTCATAATTAAAATTATAATAAATTGTATAATTTTTTAAGACACGCTCTAAATTAACCTTAAATCTTTACACAAAACAACATAACTACTGCAAAATCAACAGCATTTTGTTTTTTCAAAAACCATAATAAATAAAACCAAGTGAAGCATGTAACAAATTTTGAGAGAGGCAAATCAATGAGTAAATAACTCTACACTTTCTGTCTATTGCAATATACTGCCATAGGAACAGTAGCCTAATAGTTCAGGGAAGTTCCTGCTACTTCCTGTTTGATAAAATGAAAATAGGAGATAAAGAAGACAAGTATTTAACAGGAGAGATGGTTGCTTAAGAGAGAAAGAGGGGCAAGGGGCGAGATAATGAAATTAAAAGGGAGATGAAGATGACTCCCCAGCTAAGCAAAATGAAAAAGTGTTACTGACTATTCGGAGGCGGCGAAGGAGCTGAGCCAGAGGTGGTCGCTCCGGAGCCAGATAACAGCTCGGCCAGAGTTGTCATGGCTCGAACCTGCATTTCAAGCGCAGCTATATAATCAGTCGCTTCTTCAAGAATAACAGGTAACGGTTGCTTCCGGCAACCGGGAACCAACCGGCCAAGAACCTTGACTTTTCTTTGAACAGCCGGTAAGCTTTTGGCATGCAATTTCGAAACGCTAAATATCGGTTTCTTCGGCCGGCTACACCCGGCGGATCCTCTCTGTCTCTTCTGCTTCCTGAATTTCAGCTTAAGCCGGCTCGTCAAAATGGCCCGGCTCCACCTTGTTCTCCCTTTAGCAGCAACGGCCAAGGCTCTATCGGCAGCTTCACGGACGGCTCGGCCACCGCGCGGAGCTGAAAAAGAAAGAGCGTCGAGACTGACCTGGCTCAAGGCTTGAAGAAGCTTGGAGGAATAGATTTGCTGCTGCGCCTCTGATTTCCATCTGGTTATCTGGGGCTGGTTACGGTTCGTTTGATTGTCTTTCATCATTGGTTTCTTCTTTTTCCTCCTGCTCCGATCAGAATTCGAGTTCGTCACTGGATTCGTTACCATGGACGCCATCACACCGGATCGAATCCGCCCCCTGGATCTATCAATCTCTATCTTTTCACCGTACGATTGTTGAATTGTAACGGTACCGTCTGCAAAAAAAAAGAAGGAAGGGATTTTGAGATAAAACAGAGAGATTCAAATTACGATTCCAGCAAAAGAAACAACGAAACTTATTACCGATTTTAACGATATCACAGAACGGAACGGAGAGGTGAATGGAAGGATGGAGGGGAGGCTTATAAAGGAATGGAATGAAAAACAGAGCACGCTGCAATTTATTTATTTATTTTTTATAAAATGATAGATGATTATAAGCTGATATTTCATATAGTTTTTATTATTATTAAAAGTTATAAAACGATTTATTGATTATTCATAAATTTTTAATTTATTTTTTAATTGAAAAATTGATATTAATCTGAATTAGATATTAATCTACTTTATTGAGATATAATAAAATCATATTTTAACGATGTATGTTGATACTATTATTTCTTTCAAATATTGACTAGACAATATAATATAAATGAAGATTCAATCCATAAAATACAGATCAAACAATTATGAATAAGATTTTATCATATCTTAGTCAATGTATTACGTCCAGCTCAAATGACCACTAATTTTTATAATGAAAAAAGACTAGTTTATAACACAAGAATAGTCAAATGACTATTTTATAACTTTTAATAGTTCAATGACTCAATAAAGCAGTTTCTTACAACCAATAGATCATTATGTAATTTTTAATAATTAAGAAATTTAATAAAGTAATATCTTATAATTAGAAAATCATTTGTGTACTTTATCCTTATTTTTACTTACTCTGCTCTTTCTTTATCTAAGATTTTCTTTTTAATTTGATCTATGGACAACATCGTTGTGGTAAATGTCGTAATTCCAGAGGAATCATTACCGCAAGGCAAAGAGGGGGAGATCACAAGCGTCTATACCGTAAAATTGATTTTCGATGAAATGAAAAAGACATATATGGTAGAATCGTAACCATAGAATACAACCCTAATCGAAATGCATTTATTTGTCTCATATACTATGGGGATGAGAAAATATATATTTACATCCCAGAGGGGCTATAATTGGAGATACCATTGTTTCTGTAGGGTTAATTAGAAAGTAAGCGTCTAAGCTATATCGTTTTTTCTTCAAACAAGTTACCAATTTTTTTGCTATTCATCTAGGTGTTTAACGTTATAAACGTTACAATTTTACATGCCTTGACTACAACGTCTGTTAAAATTCTCTACTAAGTGACGCGTGTCACATTCATGTAATTTTGATAATTTTATTTAAAAATAAAAATACTATTATATTTTAAAAAAATAACCATAATTTCTCTTAAATTATCAAAAAAATCTATAATCTCTTAAAATCCTAAATCTCTAACTCGCCGACGTCGTCATCCTTGTTGTCGATTGGTCGTTAGGATCGCGTGGGTTTTGCGATATGTAGCATTGGGGTACACACGTCGATTGATCGTCAATTGATTCATGTTCTAGTGACTTTTCATGGGTTATTGATCGTTGGGTAAAGGTGAGGCCGAGTGGAGGTTCATCACGGCTGATGTGGCTTTAGGGGGTTAAAATTAAGATTTTCAAAGTTTTAAGTTTTTTTTTGAAGTTTTCCGAAAATTTTAAGTGTTTTTTAAAATATAATTTTTAAAATACTAGAACGTGGCACGTGTCTTTTAACGGAAAAATTTAACGATAATTATGCCCGAAAACACCTAAAATGATAACGTTTGTAATGTTAAACACTTAGATAAATAAACAAAAAATTAAACACTTATTTATAAAAAACAGTATAATTTAAACATTTATTTTTTTAATTAAACCTTTTTTTGTGCCGAGGTGATGGTCGGTCCATTTGAGCTGTTATTTTATGATTCGAGGCAGGGGTTATGAATTAGGTATTAGAATTAATTTTGAGATATAAATCTTCACATAAATTAACATTGAACCCTTTTTAATAAAATTAATAAATAATACGTTAAATTGGGATTAAAATTAACTTTAAAAAATAATTATATTTTATTTATAAAATAATATAATAATAATTGTTTTTTAATAATGTTTCATGAATACATTTTTAGGATGTTATATTTGATACAGAAATTATAATTATTTTTTTATAAAATTAATATTAATTGACATCAAATTATATTTTATATTATTTTAAAATTTATGTTAAAATTAATATATTCTTATAAAATAAATAAAATAATTTTTAATTATTTTTTATCTTAAATATTATTCTGTATCAACAACATAATAAGTTTTTATTTTATTTTATTTAGTCTAGTAGTAGTTAGATGCTACACTCTTCCATTATAAGTAGAAGGTTTGACCGCGTTTTCTATTAGGTATTTTCTTTAATTTTTTTCATTATTAAGATAATTATACATGTTGTTTTATTAAGATATATTAATTTATTAAAAATGATATATATATATATATATATTAATTTATTAACGATAACAAACGACAATGACTGTAATGAAAATGAATTAAAATTCTAATGATTTTATTAAAATATTAAAAATTTTAGTGATTAAAATATAAACCCTTTAAATTCAAGAATTACTAGTTTAATTTACCTTAAAATCACTCCATAGTCAAATGGGTTCTTTTTTATTTTTTTCCTGTTACAAGGTTAATACGAGGGAAAGGAAACGGCGTTTAGCTCTGAATTTGAGGTGTTGATATAAAGTTTTAATTATTTGTCATTTATGTTATTGGTAAAAATTTTAATCGTGCTAGTTATTAGTACTATTCATATTGCATAATTTAAATGTTATTTTAAATAAATCTTTAATATATTTTAATTTATTTTGACCAATATCAATACAAATTTACTCATATCAATTGCTAAAAAAATCAAAAGAAACTCAAATTTTAATCACTATACTTGAAAAGGGTTTTGACCAGATAATTAAAATATGATATCATTTGCATTTCTTATGTACCATCATTTTATTTTGATTTAAGGATATTATAGATTTTAAATTTTAAAAAATAATATAATTTTTAATATAATTAAGATTTTATATATTTACCCAATTAAATATTTATATTTAAAACTTTATTAATTCATTCATTTGAACAATTTAACTATTAAATTAAAATAGTTAAATTTAGCTTAATTCGTTAAGGAAAAATAAAAAATAATTTTTTTTGCATACCCATCATTTTTGAAAAATGAAAATTTAAATTTTAGACTCTATTTTTAAATTTTTGATCTGCCACTTCATGTAATATCATGATATTTTTATATAATGTTTATAAAAAAATTAATTTAAAATATTTTTAAGAATTTTTTCAAATATTATAAAACAAAATCGTAGCATAGGTAATATTATAGTAATATCTTAATAATAAAATGATTGGAATCTAATAATAAAGATTGATAAGAATCTTAATTACTTTAATATCTTAATTTAAAAATCAAATTAGATATAGAAATATATAAGTTTAATTAAGTCCTTTTAAAAAAAAATTAAAGACTCCATATTTTTCTGTCTTAAAACATAAGATTTTTAAATATTAGAAATAAAATGAAATACTACATTTTAAATATAATTTATCATGTTTTTAAACCAACTTTTTCCTACAACTGCCCTTTTCAGATTTACCCAATCAAATTGCTTGCCTTACGCCAAGCAAATGCAGTGCACACTGCACAAAGCAACGAATGGCAGACATTATTCCGAATATTTAAAGGAAATTACAGAAAATATGCAATTTGCTTGAAATGAAAAACATACTTTAAAACTCTACTCACTACTTTGCAGGGAAAAAGTAAGATGAATCGTGAGATGTGTATATAATACCAACTTCTAAAAGCCATAAACTATAACTAACATAAACACAAATTTGCACCATAAATCTTTCGTTAAGCAAAATACTTTCTACATTTAAACAACTTACAAATTCTCAAGTGCCTATGCCAATTTGCTTCAACTCCCATGTTATTAATGCGAGTAAATCAAATAGCGGGGTTAATTTTTTTTTAATAGTGTGGATGATTGTAGTATAATATATAGTAAAAATATTTAATCATTGATAACGTACACACATTCTATTAACATAATTATCCCAATTTAAGATCTCTAGCAAATAGTGGTAGTAGATGGTTTTCATTTGATAGTTTTATATTTTTACTACTACAAAATGGATAGTCCTCTCCTTAATTGAAATGCACAATTTGATAGTTCATTTGAAGGTTACTTTTTTTTAAAAAAATAACAATAAAAATAATGGTAAACAAAGGAAAAATGCATGTGCAATTTTGTGTTGTTTCCTGGCATTTTTCTATCTTCGGCTTTGTTTTATAAATTTATTGGGAGAGAAGGCTTGGAATTTCTCCCCCTCCATTTCTGAGGTGTGGACAGCTCTGCTCTCCATATTTCCTGTCACGGGGTCCCATTTTCTCTATTGCCAAACATGTTTATTTATTCACAAAAAAAATTACTTCTCCCATCAATCTTAACTCCGAAGTTTTCACTACCCAAATGTTTTCCTATAGTCTAATTATAGTTTTAGTCCTTTTATTATAATTAAGTTTAAGATTTAGTATTATACTTTAATTTAGCATGATTCAATCACTAACTCTTATAATGTTATAGTGGTTAATGGTATTTCCTATTTCACTAACTAATGACACTATAAAAACAGAAGGACGATTGTAAGAAAAAGGTAAAGGGATCAAATAATGCCAAATTTAAGTATTTGATCTATATCCCAAATTTTAACATAGTAGAAGGACCCAAACTATAATTTGACTTTTTATAATCAATAATCAAAAGGAAGCTTCCGTTTTTTGTCACTCCTCTCCATTCATGGTTGTTCCGATGAACCACAACCTAATATAAGATTAAAAAATGTGTTACCGAAAATATTAATATTTTTTTAACATTTTCGTTAGAACTCTACCTAAAATGTTATTTTTTCTATCGGAAATGTTAATTTTGCTATCTAAAATGAATATTTCTTATATTAATATTTACGGTAAAAAAACATTTTAGGTAGCGTCCAATATTAAATTTTTTGTAGAAAAAATAATATTTTAAGTAACACTCTATCGAAAATATTAAAAAAATATTAGTATTTTCGATAGCTCATTTTTTTAACCTTATATTATACTGTATTTCCTTAGACATCCCCTCTCATTTAAATTACCTGAGTAATCACAACCTATTCTCCCATCACAAAACTACCTGTTGAGATAATTGTCAAACTAGTCCTT